CTACTAATAATAAAGGTATTAAGATGATATATGCATAGTAATGTGTTTTTTTTTACTTTTCAACGAGATATAAAAGACGAGTATAAAAAGCAATGTACCAAAATGTGCCGAGAATGCAAATAAACTGTAACGCAAGTCATGCACAGGACTGCTGGAGACATACACTGCCGAAGATAGCTTTTGGGTACCATCTGCAACATTCAAAGGAAAGTTACACAAAAAAAGAGGAAGAAAATGAAAGAATCGCAGCATCAGCGTAACAGATATAAACTTGCCCTCGAAGCTTTTTTTGATAGACCAAAAAATATAACAGGTCCAAGACTATACTGTGTGAAATATGCATGATCTTACTCTCGCAAAGAAGTCGTTACAAAAAAAAGACTTGCTGTCTATGGTAGGCAGCAAAGAAAGGTATATCCGGCCTTGAAAAGCAGATACACAGTAAATATGCTGCAGCGCTGATACTAGTGCACCACGACTGATGGTGTAGTGGGTAGCACGTTACGTTTGGATGTGAACGGGAGTTTGGTCCCCTTCTGGCGAACAACCTTTTTATTGAAAAGGGACTCCGTTCACTACACTGAAATGCTGTTAGAAGCCGTACGCATCAGTGACAGATTTTTCGATGCTGAATTCCATACCCCCAGTCATCTTTAAAATCACACATATTCGATAAGTAAGACTGAACTATACACTGTTTTAATATTAAGGACGTAGTACAACAACAAACCAATAGCGGCAAAAGACGCATAGGTATGATCAACGTGAAATGCCGTATGGCACGTAAGTCTAACGTCCAGTACACGTACTCCACTCAATTCGATATTCAACGTTAGCGATGGAACTTCTTCCGTAGAATTCTCTGCTTGCTGCAAAACTGTTTGATTGTAAAATGAATGTTATTGTTCATAGTGGTACTCGCGAGCAAACTAATACGATCAAACTTCCAGAAAGGAAGCGGGCGTTCTCTGTAGAAGACGGGCATAAACAGAGGTAATTTAACAGAAGCAGGTGTAAAATAGCCAGGTTCAGCATGTCGGTTTAATGAGAAACATTAACTTGAAAGATCTGAGCACAGCTAGGCCCTCTTAAACCACAGGTCTGAGTGATTTTGGGTGATATTAACTAAAGCAAAGTTTGATAAGCCCGAATAATCCCGGGATCCCAGATGATAATCTTTCTTGTTCATTATAATTTTTTGCCTTCTATTTCCCAAACTCATTAATTCATTTTGCTATTTCCACAAACAACTCCTAGTTGCAAGACAGCAGAATTTCGATTTGGTTTTCTAGTATTTACTTCTGTCTTACTTAAAATCCTTCCGCTAACCCTTGATTCGCAGTCTACAACCTCATCATGCAGACTCAAAGAAAATGATCCAAAAGTATCAATAAAAACTGAATTTTTATTTCTCCCAGGCAAGACAGAGGGGTCAGGGAATGGAAGTGTGAGAAAAACAAAGAAAATGAAGAATTTAAAAAAAAAAACTGAGAAAATTTATGCAAAAAAAGCTATTAAAGGATGTAAAC